GAAAAATGATTTCTCAAGCCTCCAGATGCATTCAGAATGAAGAACAATGGACCACATGATAAGCCTTCTGCAGCCTTCCCCACAAAAGACACGCTGGATGTTTTTTTCAGCCCTGACAATAGCTTTCATGAACTTCGGTATTATGTAAAATTAGGATTTTTACTGCCAGAACAGAGGCATTTCCTGCAGGATTACCACTGAAGCCGCTGTGACCAAGAAGTCCCCGGTTGTTGGTCTCATTTAAGATTTCAGTGAAGCAGTGTGGGCTGTGAAAAGCCGCAGATCAGTTAGGATTATCATTGTAGGGACACATCACAATTACAGCCAAAGCATTTTGCCTACGCCTAGGAAAACAAGTGAACAGCAACCCTTCTGCCCTCTGCTCCTAAAAGAAAAAGACTTCTTTGTTTTGCTTTTTTGAATACAAAAGAAATTACATTCGGAAACACAAAAAGCTAGGTCAAAGGCTTGACACCAGTGGCAGCTATTATTCCACCAAAAATGATTCAAGAGTGTCTGTCCCTGCCTTCTGCAAATACTCACCAGAAAGAGTAGGGAGGAGCAAGGGAAAAGCTTGGTGATAGTTAATAAATATAAATGCATACGAGGCTTAGCACCCTAGGGGGAAAAATTACCATCTTGGGGATATTTTTCCCCTTTCAGCCATACAGCTGCAGACAGAATGTTGATGCTGCAGAAGGAAGAATGTGAGCCTTTGCAGGAGACATCCTTGCTTGGTGCATCAACATCAACAGCATCAAGGTGGGAATCAGGGGGAGCTGCCGAGCTCACAGCACATCAGAACACAAACTAGTTAAGGAAGCGTGCCCAAAAGGACAGCCAGTAAGTTAATGCATAGCTTTAAGTATTTCTCCCCTACACCACATGATTTATTCTAATCAAGAACTGTCTGAAAAGAGATGGGTTTCAGGAATTACATCACATGAGCAAGTCTCATTTTGATGGCCTTACTCTGTATCCTTTCTCTGAAAGTGGAAACAGACACAAAAAAATCATTTGGAAAGAGGTCAAGCTACAGGGAAACAACTACAGAGGCCAACTCCACTTACAAAAATATTCTTAAAGCAAGGAAAAATTCAGATATCTAAAGCCCAGAAAATGATTTTCAGTCTGTAGATGCCATGGGCTTTGTGGGTTGCTTTTCAGGAGATACACAGATTAGTATGCTGACAAACCACAGGTTTGTTTTTCTTTGACATGCTTGCATGTGTCTAAGACTGAGCTGGGAAAAAAGCAGTGGTCTACGTATTAACAGTGCTTGAAAATCTTTGCTGTGCACCATACACACACAAAGCGAAGGTGTTACTGCACACAGTAATAGCAGTGGGCTGCCCAGCACAGACCCAATATATCTTGGATCAGAGCCTTCCTCACTTCACTAGACTGGAGCTAGAGCAAACACACAGACCCAAGCTACTGCCAAACCTCCTCGTTCTGGTTTTGATGCACCCTAAATTGAAAAACAAAACAGGCAAATCTGGGTTGAGAGCTTGCAGCATCATAAATGAAGATATCCTCTAACGGCCAAGATAAGCCCAGAAAAAGGAATGCGAAGCAGGTGCTTGGGTATTTTTCCCCCTCTAGATTTCAGCTACAGGAAAACGTCAGGGGGTACAGCCCTTTGTTGCAGTGGCACAGGGGATGTTCCTTGAAAGAAGCTTGGAGGCCAGGAGCATTGCCTCCTGGTGGATAAAAGCGAGCAGCAGTGGATTTGCATTTAGGAAAACGACAGTAAAACCCGTCTGAGTTCATACACACAGATCCCAGCACCAAACTGCTTTTACCTCCAGTGATTTCTGCAACATTCCATGCAAGAGGTACAGGAAGCACCCTGGTTTGTGCTGCCTGTCTCACAAGTCAAAATCAACTGCTGGCAGGTTTGGCAAACACACAGAAAAACGTCAAATTGATTTCTGTATTGTGTTGGCTTTTTCTTTTTTTTTTTTTTTTCTATTCTTTTTTTTTTTTTTAATAATTAAATCTGCCTACTGACTGCAGGGCAAGTCCAAACAAAAATTCATTCTGAAAGACTTGAAATCCATGTTTGCTCTACCTCGGGCTCACAGTCTTACTGAATTCAGTAGCAGCTTTGCTTTTCCAAGTACAAAGCTTAAGTTTCCCCCACCACTTAACCTTCAGCCAAGCTTTTCACCTAAGGCCCCACTCCTTATTATCAAGTCTTTATGTGAACCCTTTGCCCCAGGGTGAACTCACTCTCACAGAATCTGTTCTACAAAGTGCAAAGGAAACAGGCAGTGAATTATTTTGCTTTTATCACAAATAATCTCTCCTTTTGGTAACAGATCTTCAGTTACTGTCAACTCTGGGTCTACTGCACACAAGAGCTGAACCACAGCCTGCAGGAATCAATACCATTGACTCTAATGAGTTCTGAATCATGCTTAGCTCTCCTGGAGATACATCCCACTCTCCCAGCAAAGAAAAATACAGATGTCAGTAGATGCACTGACACTAATGTATGCTAATGAAGGTAATATAACCTAACAACATGTGAATTATCGATGTAGGCATGTTGGAACAGGAAAATCAGCACGGAATCACACCGGACCAATACGCTCCAATATTTGTGCACCAACAGGCAATTGGAATGTGATGGTCATGAGAACAGTCATTACCACTTTATTAGCTTGAAAGGATTTTTGTTAGGTTGTCCATGTCTCGCCTGATAGACTAGTCATTATATTTCACATCATGCAACGGTGTGTGATATCAATAAGCCACTTGTACCAGCATCAGATGAGTTACTGTTACACACCAACACTTTCCTCTGACCTTCCCAGACATTTGTCATAAACCATATTGCTTTGCCTAAGTTATTTTGCCTAATTGTTATGATGAGAGTCATTGACAAAGGCCAGTTTATCCTCTCATTCACAACAATTCATGGGAGCACAACTCTCCTGAATGCAGTAAAATTTCTCCTAGTTGCCATGAGGCCCATGGGGAATGAAGTTAACTCCTTTCTCTGGTTTGCCTCTGGTTCCCAGGATGTCAAGGCATTTGACTCAGTTCCATCATAAAATAAACTAAGTTTGTCTATCGAGACAGTTTTATCACATCATCATCATGTTCTCCTAATGTATTTAGAGAAATTTCATTGTGCACTACAGTAAAAAGATGATGTATATTCAATAATAATCAGTGTTAATTTTACTATTATTCCATTATCCTGTAAGATCTAATCATTCTGTCATGTACTTTCGAGTGAGTTGGCTCCATCTCTGTGGTATCTGGGAACTACACTACAGACAGGCTTTGTTTTTATAAGCACTGTTGGGGCATACAGATTTTTATGATCTCATCACGTCCTCACCAGGTTGTATTGATATGCACCAGCGCTGCATCAATATTGACAAAAGACTTCCCAGCATATGCATTGCACCTAAGAAACCCCAGCCTCCAAACCTCAACCAATCACTGGGGCACCTTTCTGGACATTTTAGTGCTGCATTCAGCGCTGAGAATGTGGAGTGGGCAGGGGAGAAAGCTGTTCCCTGGCAGGTGGGACTATGTTGGGGATACCAAACGTGGGATAGCTTCATCACCACCCTATGGATGGGGGAATTCATGGGTAAAAAGCAGCACCACAGATGGCCAAAAGAGCTTTGCACAGCTACAGAGAAGAAAACAAAGCTTGAGTGAGATAATTAAAATAGCTTCTTATTTTGAAGGAGTCATCACATTACTCTCAGTGCAGGCAATTAATCTTACTGATAACAGTTACGCACTGTAAACTGCTCCTCAATTTCTCCAGTGTTCATAATAGAAACACACTAAGCATTATCCACTTATACATATGAAGGAATATTTGGATATTTTCTGAGGAGGGAAGGAGTAGGGGACAGCTGTGTGTTCATTTGCCACTTTAAAGCAGATAAACACGGCAGGAAAGACACCCTCTTATTTACTGTAAGATACTACGCCACAGCGTTTCTCATCAGAGACCACTGATGGACACAGGGCAGTGGAACCCATGGGGCAGTAAACCCAGTGTCTGTGTATGTGGCCGTGCAGGAGTGCTGTTGGGTTCTGCTTTACCTTTTCCGGAGCCGGGAACTGCAGGTGATTTACTTCCAAAGGTGTGATCAAAGGAACTGTCTGAAACCCATCTTCGCTGGATGGTGGTTTGCTGTTCTTGTCGTTCAAATTACTCCCCAGCTTCACCATGCTTGGACCTTTCTTTCCAGACCTAAATCCATTGAGACGATCAACGTCAGAGGGGCAGCGGGAAGAGGATTTCTGCCTTGCCCAGCTCGCTGTGCCTTGGCATACTGCTTTCCTGGCTTTGCAGGCACACGACATGCCCCACCGAGGCTGACCTCACCCATGGATTTTGCAGCGCCTCACGCAGCCGCCCCACAAACACATCTCTGTGCAACACGGCCGCTCCCAATGCCCCGCCATTGCCAACACCATCCCTCAAGCAGCACCGACCGCCCCAAATCCTGCCCCATCCCTCTGACCGATGCCCCCCTCCCGCTGCGCACCCACACCCATGTGCATTCCGTGCTCCCACGCGCTCCCCGATTTCCCGCAGCCCCAGGGGTCGCCCCTCCCGCCTCCCCCAGCCCCTACTTACTGCAAACCACGCGGTCACTGGCGGCGGCTCGGCGCGGGGGCTGGAAGGTTCCTCTTAATTTTCACTCGCCGCAACGAAATGAATGCGAAGGGGAGCGGGCGGCCGCCGCGTGCCGGCGGTGCTGAAGGGACAGCGCTGCGCGCGGCTGCGGCTCCGCAAGCGCGACTGAGGGCGGGCGCGGGCGGCTGCTCCCACCTCCCTCCTCCCGCCGCCGCCGCCGCCCGCAGCGAGCGCGCCCCCGCGCGGCCTCGGGCACCCCCTGGCGTTCCCGCCGCGCACGGCCGCGCGCCCCGGCGCCCCCTGCAGGCACCAGAGGGAGCCGGGGGCTGCGAGGTGGCTTTTGGGGTCAACTCGAGACCCAACAAGGTTTTCACTGAGATTAGAGATTACACCTCCTGCAGACCCGCCAAGAAAAGATACGTACATATAAAGGCGGCAGTGCGCATCCCAAAGCGGCAGGAAAATGTGGGATCGTGGAGTCTGTCGTACAGTCATAGAATCAGTAAGGCTGGAAGAGGTCATCCAGTCCAACAGTCCATCTATGGATCCAATCATAATTCTCCATGGATTATGCTCTGTGAGTCTGAAGAGGCAATTTAAACCCACTCACTAATAAGGATTATTAGATTGCACCAATTTAATCAATAACTTATGATTGCACTGATACCAGAAATCACCCAATCATTACTCATCAGGGATGGGATCTGTGAAAATATATCATAGAAACAATAAATCATTGGAAAAGTCCACCAAGATCATCTCATCCAGCCCCAACCCATCCCCACCAATACTGCCCACTGTGCCACACATGCACGGTTCTTGAACGCCTACAGGGCAGTGACTTCAACACCTCCCTGGGCAACCTGTGCCATTTGCAGGTTGGTTCTGACACAACCTGTCGGAACCAACATGTTATAAATCCTGAAAAGCCCTTTGCTCATTCTCTGTGCAGAGATGAATGTCATGTTGCCATTTGGCTTAGGATGATCTTTAGGGCCTTCAACATGTGGAGGTTGTAAGAAAATCTCAAAGCACAAAAAGAAGATGATGACAGGAGCCCTGTCTTGTCCTAGACATTATCAGCACTCCAGATTCTACACCAACCCTTAGAGAGCTCTGCAGGTGCACTGGAGTAGGCTCCTATCAGACCACCCCATATCATTCATGCATCCCATCCCTCAGGCTAGCGGAAACATCTGCAGAGTGCCCACTTCAACTAGAAGAGCTGATCCTCCCAACACTCTCAGCCTTTTCCCATATGACAGTTAAAAAAATGAAGAAAAAAAAAAGAAAAAGAGAGAGAGACAGCAGCTCTTTCCCTAACATTCATTACATTACAGATTACACCACGTGAAATGATTTGACTATCCAAAGAGTCACAGACTCTGCAGTTACCTTCTACTGAATGCATACATTTGAACTACTCTGGCTCCTCTCTCAGCAAAAGAGCTGTTTTCAATTGAGGGATTGGGAAATACTACTAAAAAAATGCAAAGGAAACAATTGCATTGTAACTCCACAGAAATGGCACGGTGGTTTTCTATCTTTATCTGGCAATTACAAAGGGGCATGAGAGTGCTTTGTTGAAAAGCAAAACGATGCCTTTCATAGCGTGAAAATGTGCACCACGACCTGAAAACCAAACTATTTTTATGCATGTCAACACCAGTAATGAATGTTCTACTGTCCAAATGCTGTCCTAGCAACAAGTAGATAGATCCTCTTATTTAAAAATGTCTTAAGCAACAACTTTTGCAAAAACAGTCACTTCATATCTCCAGAATCACTTGTGCAAACCCTTGGGAATTGTGGTTGCACCACGAAAAATGAAATTGCCAGTAAGGCACCTGCTTGTTTAGCTTGTCTACTCCCATGGATGCAGTGATATGCTTGCAGAATTTAGTGTATTACCTTCAGTTGGTTATACCTGAGTACTCTTCTGCATAACAGCTAAGCAGCGATGAGGTGAATCCCATACCTCCATGTGCATTTCTTCCACTGCTAAATACTTTCCATGTAGCTGCAAATCTGATAACTAAAAGAACTCAGTTCTGCTGGGGATACTCTGTATAACCCAGAGAATGCACATCAATCTGCCAGCACTCTAGCACTGGCAGATAGAGCCAGGTTATCACTAGAAGAATCCCAGCAGGAGGACCTGTGATAAGTGAGCAGATGCAGTTTCTACCTTACAACTTTTCAGAATAGGAGCACATTTCTGGCAGTGTCTTTTGGTGGCACCAAGTGAGAATGTTGGCAAAGTAGCAGAGGGAGGTGTGCAGGGAGATACCATATCCCTCAAAGTTGTCCCTTGCATGATATCCTCAACTGCCATCTTTTTTTCTCTGTGAGGCTGAACCATCCCTGTAATTACTTCAGGTCATACGTTTGATTTCAATTTGAAAATACCTCTTTGCCAAATGCCAGCTTCACAGGGAGACATAACTCCCAGCAATAAGTAAAAGCAGGGTGCTTTATGGAAAACTACGCACGCTTAAAGTTGCAAGCACGATTCTAGAAGAGAACATTCTCTACAGACAGCATGAATGTAAACCCAAGTGAACACGACAAGTGAATTCGCTCTTACGGAATGAACACAGAGTCTGACATTTCCACCCACACAGAGCAAATCAGTGATGGCAATAAGACAAAGCAGCAGTATGAGCAACATGAGGCTCCAGAGGAATAAAAACCACATGCCTTCTGTCAACAAAAATATATGCTTCTCTTGATTATTTTAATAAGACTCCCGTGATGTATTTTCTATTTTCAGTTAAACAAATCAAAGTGGAATTAATGCTTTCATTACCAGTTTACACCGAGGATTATTGTCTGGCTTTAAGAGGCAGAGTATTTGCAGCAAGGTTGGAGAACTTCTCACTGTATTCAAGAATTCTGCAACTTGTAAACAAAATGTCAGCCTTCCCACGTCTGAACATAGAAATCAACTGCTCTTCAATGCTCATGAACATTATTTTCCATATTTGCTCCATGATCTGTGAAAATCTTATGGTCATTACCTCTCTTCTTCAGATATATTTCCTCCACACTGCGCACTTTCCTTGCAGCGTTCTTGTAAATTATTGCAGGTAATATTGTTTTTATCTGCTTTCAAACACTGAAAAAGTAGTGTTAGGCACTCAATAGAAGTATCTGAAAATAGATGGACCGGCTGAAATTATTGAGTTGAGAAACTGCAAAACTTGAAGGCACACCATGAAGACGGTCTCAGGAAACCAGAGCTGCGGAGGCAGAGCAATGCTGGAACACCAGCCATGTCGGGTTCTTCCGATGAAAGATCGGGTTTGTCTCTCAGAGATTCCCATCAATTCATTTCAAAATGAGTCCAAAAGAGTGCTCAAGAGAGCTCAAGAGGAGCTTGAGGAGGCATTCAGAAAACAGCTTAAGGCAAACTGAGCTCTGATTTGAGTCACGTGACTTAAAAAACCTATGCAGTTACAAGCTCACATCCAAGTTCTCCTCTAGGTAACACCATACTGTGATAGGAAGTAACATTTAGAGCACATCAATACAGAAAGCAATCTTACCATATTAACTGAAATCCCAAATAGACCTGATGAGGTTGTAACAGGGCAAGTCTCAGTGCCCAGCCATGCTCTAAGCTGCTCCTCATTTCATGTCCCCGTTGTTCTGCTCAGTCTGGGCTAACAGATTGAAGCGAGAAGTTCATGTGCATTCTTTTCCTTGGGAGATCCTTCCTGGACAAATTAGCATCACAGTCAAGAATTTTTACCTTGGAATTCAATAAATTTTAAATATGAAAGGGTGTAAAAAGTGATCACAGCTATTTCAAGCTGGGTTTAACTACTTGTAGCTTTTGCTATGAAGATCATCCGTTATGCAGAATTCCATCAGCAATGCTGACTTTCTTTCATACATCCACTGGGAACAAGAAAATAAGCATAGAGCAGAACAGGAAAAAAAAATGCTATGTTAATTAAGTATTCATTTCAAAATACAAGAGTTTGCAAAGATTCTGGAGGAAAGGAACCATGGATCAGTGCCTTAATGAACCTGCATGCAATAAATTTCATGCATGAACACACTCTTGTCATGATCTCTGGTAAGACTACAGTAATCAGACGTAGTCTTATGCAGCCCAGCAACATTTAGAATTCAACAAAATCTCTCAGCTGAGACACATGTGAGCCTACAGTTTAGAGCAAGAAGTAGAGAATCTCTCACTGATAGGCCCCTGTGCATACTGTGCAGAAGATGCAATACAGTCTGTCCTAAAAGGTGCCACAGACAACAGGAAGTTCAAGTATACAGCATCTTCCAAGAGGTTTTCCTCCTATCTCTGCATTTAGGCATACTCCCATTTAATTTACAGCCTCCATATTTTTTTCCTCTAACAAATGAAGCTGCAGCACCTCCATTTTCACTAGCTACAAGGCAAGCAGAAAAACTTTCAAATGCATATATTTTTTTTCCCATCAGATGTCTGTGATGCTGTCACTGACAACAGAAGAGCTTCCCATAAACATTTGTTAAAATTCACTGTGGCCTTCATATACTTAACATGGTAGGTTCATCTGCTACTTCCATTTGCTGGAAATGCTATTATGCTACTCTCATTGCAGTATGGTCTCTTCAATTTTTATGCAAATTTCTATCATCACAGTTATATAAGTGCTTATGCAATGAAAATATACATAATACACAAACCTGTCACTGAGTGTTATTTACAAGAGCTATAAATCAAGGTTGTATCCTGTTTGGTTTTATATTTCAGGATCTACTGCACACATACATAAAATGTCACTTCTGCACAAAATTTGCTTTAAGTCCCCTTCTCCCCCCAAAGAATAGAATTGAATTGTCTGCTGAAGGCTATTCTTTAGTCAGAGGCCATGGAAAGTGGTATTAGATGTTTTGAAGTTAAAACATGAACATCGACTACCAGCAAGGGCCCTAAAGACAAAGACATTTACTGGTATAAATGTTCAGTGAACACAAAGGTCACCTTATTCTTTCCCGAAATCTGGCCATAGTTGAAGCTTCACATCCTGCTCTCAACTTTTCTCAAGAGCTGAAATCTTTTTATGGAAGGAAATAGCAGTGAAATACGATTAGCCTTGGTGATGGCCAAGTTATAGCCTCACAGGCCATAGGATTGCAGAATCACTGCTGTTAGGGCAGCAGAATCTGATTCATCTCAACACCAGAGCAGATGGGGCACAAGTAGTAGAGCTGCCTGGCGAGCCAAGCCTCCAGTTTGCAGGAAATGTGGTTTTATCTGAACTGGTGGCATTGCTCCAAATCAGGAAGGAAAGAAACTCCTCTGAAAATGCCCACAAACTGGAAATTCCCAGAAAGGCCACTTCAGAAATACCAAAACACTTCCAAAACACAGATCCCAAAGTTCCCAAGTCCAAGCTGATCAGTGGCACTGTCTCTGACAGCAGCAGCTCGGCACAGTAGCAGTGAGAGCACCCAGGACTCAGCACAGCCCTGTCACTGAGATCTGCCCAGGGAAGCCTGCCCAAAGTCACAGCTCCTCAACAGGCCTGCCTCTAGACAAGCCTCCTAGCACTTCCAGGCATGGAAATCAAAGTGGAGATCAACTCCCAGGATTTTGGAAGTGCTAGCCTAACAGCATGGGCTAGAGTTTCAAGCCCTCTAGCCTTGGTGTCTCTGGGCAGACATGAGAGGCTTCAGCTCCCAAGATGACAGACAAGAAATGCTCCAAGAGCCAGGGGACCTCAATTTGGAAAGAACTCACCAAGTTGGAAAACTTCCAATCAAAATATTTCAGTCCTAGCAAATGTGCTGTTTCCCATTAAACTTTGTTTTACCAGTAAATTTCTAACTGAAGACCTTACTCTCCATCACTTAGTTTCCTACAGAGTCATCTGTATTTATGAAAACATGGTACAAAACAATGTCTTTTCAGACCGGCTCTGAGATCTTGAGACAAAATCTGGCACTGGTGCTTACTGATAGAGGAATTCAGCAGCAACGCCTCCAGCTACTCTGCCAGCTCCAGCTGCTCCATCCCACCTCAATACCACAACGTACCTCCTCAGATCTCTGGCAGCTGTTCACAAGGCTCAGCTGAAAGGATTGTTCTTGAACTTTCCCAATATGCTAGTTTTTGTTCTGTGTAGAAAGGTAAATTACGTCCAGAAAAAAAAAAGCTGCAGAGCAAAGAAACATCATGACCTCTATATTCGCACATCTGCTTCGGTTCACACTCCAAGTGAGATTTGTTATTAAAAACTTCAGGTAACTGGTATGTGTTCTGAAGAATGTGAAAGAACAACACTGCTGCCCAGGATCCACAGCAGGATGGAACGACACTTGGTTTTGCTTCTGCAGTGATGATTAAAAACTTCAGAGAAGGGTCAGCTGTTTGATGAATCTCAAGTGAATGATCTAGTGCCCTGAGGTTCCCTTATTTATTTCTGATTCCTTTTAGTAAAGAGATTTTAAATAAAGTTATTCCTGTATAAGCAATTCATTTTTTTCCTATGCCACTTAGATTATACAAGGATATTTTAGCACAACACGCCAATTATTTCCTTTTTTGCAGTTTTTACCTAAGTGATCACAGGAAGGAAAAAAAGAATCCATTGCAACAGGGATCTGAGAGGACGGTGACAGTATACATGTCAGTTGGATTTCTTCATACATCCTGAGTTCAATTCTTCTTTAGGTTGGTTTCCTAGTAGCTTAACTGCTCTGACTGCCGTTGTTCAAAACAGTACTTTAGAAAGCTGGTCACTGCAACAGAAAGCTAGAGAAGGAACTGGAAACTAAGCCCAGAAAAATTAGAAATCATGCAAAGAGTTAGAAATGGATCCTAAACCAGCAGGTATCCTCCTGTCCTGTTGCATTAGCTGATTTGTCCCACAGTGATTTCAAACATAAGATCCCTTTCAAAGTAACAGCAATCAGAAGTTCTTTTCTATTAGCAGACCCCAACCAATTAATTACATTGTCACCACCACAGGGTTTTTGGGAGGCGGTTTCTGGCCCCTGCCTGCACTATCACACACCCCCCAGGCTGGGAAGCCCTGCTGCTCACCACCTTGACCCCCAGACATGGGCTGGATTCTTGAGTGGGCTGCCAGTGGGGTGATGGCAGAACAAGGGCATGTTGGAAAAGGGTTAAAATAAGTAGGTAAGAAGACAGATGTTAACAAATATAAAGTCATACGGCTTATTAACGCTATGTAGGCTTTCTCCTCAAATCACCACCACATCTGGATGAAAAAGCTGCAGCACAGCAGAACCACTAAAGCTTCATCTCCAAGGCCACTTCCATCTGTGCGAGTAAGGGGACAAGCTGCAGCTTACAAGGAAAGAAACATCAGAGCAGCAACTCTACAGTTTACAGTCTGCGTCTATAAAGTACTCCTCATGCAAACATTACAGTGACAGAACTGGAAGACTCTACCTGTTATTAAACAAATAACCAAATTCATGCAACTCCAAACACGAATTTTGAAAATGCCAAAGAACTGCGACATTTTTGCTCTGCCAGAAAAATGATCATGTCTTGATTGAGTACTTTGCTTTCTCACTTCCTTTTACAAGCTGAAATGTCAACTACTTCAAGTCAAATCAGAAAAAAACCACCTTGATGCCAGAACTGCCGTCAGGAGGACACATGCCATTTACATGTTTGCAGTTGTGCTGTTAAGTAAACGGAGATTAAACCCTTCTAAATGCTTTGCTGCTTAATGACACAATCACTGGCATGTTATTAAAGCTCAACACTGACATTCCAGTCACCGTGTCTGCAAACAGTAAGACGTTATGCAATAAGAAAAGCATTCTTTTATTGAAACCAATGATGTCTAATTGTGACAGGTGAATTTTTTACCTATGAAGCTTGTATACACACTATTTGTATGCAGTCTTTGTGTTCCATTTACACAATTTGCTAGTTTAAAAGGTTTTAACAGTCAAGAGTCTAAGTGTAAAACTCCAAAACAGAAGAAAATGATACTGTGTTAATGAAATCAGCTAGGTGAATGCCTTCTGGTTATGATGATGTCATAAGGGGCCTCATGATGAACAGTGAGGCAGGAAACATTCACCTAGTTCTAAATTCAAAATATTTGCTGAGATTCATGTCTAAATGGATGAATGAGCAGAAAGGTAATTGTGTGCTATTTTAATATAACAAAATCAAAATTATTCAAATCGCTAAGAACAAAAATGTTTCTATATGCTGCGTGGGGTTCTGCTTTACTGAAATTGTTTACGATTCTGACAGGCTACAAAAAAACAATAAAATAGACATCAACACTAAATGTGGGTCTTTATTCTTCTACAAGCAAACTGCCACAATACTATGCTCACTAAAAAGCTTCCAAAAACTAATAACTAAGTGAAATATCAGACTTAATGACTTCAAATATCTTGCAACAATCTACTTAAGCCACTCTAAAAACAAACCTATTGAACAGCAGAAACATACATACCAAACAAACAACAGAGAAACAGCGTTCATCTAAATCATTTGTAGTCTTCTCACTAATTTTAGTAGGATCTAGATGAAAACAATTTCAGCAGTTTTGTATTTCCTTTCGGCCTGAATCGTCCTTTATTTTCTTGCTACACCCAACCAAAGACGGACTCCTCCTAGAGAAAAAGAGATGACAAAAGTGAAGCGGTACATTTACTTCAACAGAAAAAAGTCAGATGTGAAGTGTAACAAACAGGCTCTGTTCAGATTCTCAGGCACACATCACATGTACAGGCAGCCCAGGGAGAGAGCACTTCACTACATGCTGGAGATTGCTGCAAGGGGCCAGCCAGGGCTCATGAGAAGCTTCCACAGCACCTAAGAGAAAGGACAGCCCTACACTAGTGTTTCTCCTTCCCCAAGCTGTTATGTCTATTCTTCCCCTCCCCAGAACAGACCTACATGTATTTCTTTTGATAGTGTTCTCAAGGCCAGCTACCAGCACTCCTCACTGGATCACAGAAAAAAAGTTTTATAGCCACAGAGCCAAAATGTGAAATCACATGAGCATGCAAGCTTACACATTAAACATTTCCTAAATGCTGTGCCTCTCTGTCTGCAGACAGTGCATGTCCCTCTAGTATTTGCTGAGGGCAAACAAATATGTGCATGTATTTGAATGCTGACACCATATGGACATTGACCTGAGTTTTTAAACATGCTGCAATTAATCTTTTGGAGTTAAAGGAAAGAAACTGTATGATGAAATATTTCCTCACACCAGTGAGAAAGCCATGAATAAGCTGCGGAGGAGAGGAAGCAAACAGCCCTAGTAGCAGATTTGGTCTAGAGCAATAAGAGCAGTCATTAACACAACATGCAGAAAGAACTGACAGGCAGGAGCATGGACTGTGCCTCTGTAAGGGAAAACCCACTTCCCTGTGCTGGGTGCATACAACCTTCCTGCTGAGCATATTCCCCCTCTGCTCAAAATCTTGGGAGACGAGTGAGGCGGACAGCATTAATACTGAAGCGAAAGGCTGGCACTTATTAATAACATTAAACAATATCAGTGCATCTCTTTTGAATATCTTGCTTATTATTTAATCTTGCTTGGCAATTCACTCCATACATACCCTGTCCAGGGGGAGCCCTTCTGTGAACTTTGGTTCGCATCATTGCCTGTGGGATAACATCAGTTGGAGACACATCAGCATTTTCACTCAACTTAATCTTAATCCTGCAGCATTCCAGAGATTAAATAGGTAGCATTAATAGTCGCATAGATTGTTTCTCTCAAAAGAATTTACTAATAGAGGCCATAAAAAGCAGCATTAATTTTCTAGATCTATTAATCCAGGAAAAAAAAAATGATGCAAATGTATTCAGATTTGTTGATCCCTATCTAAAAGCCTGCCAGAATTATTTCCTTTGCTTCTCTACTATCTACTAATCTACTAATTAGAAAGGTGTTAGAATTGATGATTTCCAGCTAAAAAGAGCTTAATAGTAGATTCTCAATTAAAGTTCCTGAAAAGTGAAGTACAATCATAATTAAAGACACAAGAAATGCTTGTTGTTTTTTTTTTGTTGTTGTTGTGTTTGTCTTCTTTGTTTGGTGTTGGGGTGTCTGGTTGGTTGCTTTTCCTTTACTTGTTATTTGTTTGGGTTGTTTTCTCTTTTTGCCTTTTTTTTAAACAAACAAACAAACAAACTTGGGGCTTTATTTGTTTAAAGTGTTAGTAGAGATTACATAGAAAGGTAATACTTTCCCTCCATATGACAAAAAGAAATGACTGTTGAAAACGAGAATGGGCCGTGTCTGCTCTGTCCCCTGATAAATACAAGCTCAAAGGAACACATTGCATATGCATAAAAACCAGAAAAGCAAATCAGCAACCGGAGCGTTGAGATGGTAAATCCAAAGAGGAGATTTTGTATTAGCAGCATTCTCATTTTTGTCAATTTTTTTTTTAATAATAGTTTGAAATTTTGGAGGCACTCACATATCAAAGATTTCTACTCCTTTTTCTCATCACCTGTTGCTTAAAAGCAAGCAAATACAAACCCTAGAAGACTTTTTTTTTTTTCTTTATTGACTGCTAAATCCCACATACACATTAACATCTGTGCACTAAGATTTTGCAGAGATAAAAGCTGCAGCAGAAAGCGCATAGAAGCTGCTGGATCAAAAACCTTTAAGTTAGGTAGAGAAGCAGAGTTTTACAGAGGCTCCTGCAACAGGTTTATCAGGGGATAACATCCTAAGACTCCTCTTGTGAAAGGCTCCTGTTTGATCCAGGCAAACCTCCCCTGGCTGGGAGGAACCATTGAGCCCAGGAGGAAGGGTACCCACCTCACCTCCGTGGAGTTCTTAGTGCAGCTACTTACTTGTGCAAGCGTGAAACAGATACAATGTTAGGTTTGCCTTTAATTAATGTCTCTAATTACCACCAAACAAATGAGCAATAATATGAACTGTACAGCATACAGAGAAGCAGAGAGATAGCATTCTAAGTGACAGAGACAACAGACTAAAGATTACCACAGCTGAGAAATAGTTCAGATGAAGGAGATTTCATAGGCTAAATTTGAGCAGCTTGAGGGAGAACAAAGTAGAAAATTTGACTAAGGCCAATGGAATTATGATTGGTATAAAGAATACAATAGCACATAATGAATGTACTGCATCTTGTAATAGCAGAATTAATCAGAAATTGGCTTTTAAGCAAACAGAAGAGCTTTCCCATATGATGGTAAATATTTTCAGAATAGTTGCAGATGTTGTGGTGTTTCCTCTATTGTTCCAACAACATCCACTGTAGGTTGCGTAGGTCAGGCCCCTGGAGTAGAAAGATTTCCTTTCTGATCCAGAAATGCACTTCTGTTATTCTTATGAAGGTGAATGTTGGGGGAGCAATGTAACGTTTATGAAAACTGGCAAGAACTGACCTAAGTTTTGGCACATAACTCTTAACATGCATGCTTGTGGAGAACTTCTGTCAGCCCAAATGTAAACTGAGCAGAAGCTCTGCACATGAATACATTGTCTTTAATTTACCTGGTAACTTTTCATGGTTTATTACATTCTCTATCCTAAAAACTCATCAGACTATGAGGCCAGAAACTCCCATTACATTCATGAGTGTACACTGCATTATCTTAAATTGTGCAGCAACTACAATGTCTCTAATTGAAGCTGTCTCAGGGCAGAGCATCACTTTTAATTCCCTCGCCTTCTGCTAGTAATGGAATAACTGTATTCAGGGCACAGTGTGAGGACAGGTTTGATAGTTATGTTAAATTGTATTACAGTTACCTTTGGGGAGCATCTAATTTATTTATTGCCAGTATGAAACCAACTACTATTTTCCACTTCACCAATGTGAAGAAATAAATTATTATTCACCCAAATGTTGCCTTAGATCAGTTTGAGAACAATAGTTTAATTATATATTTAACGTGTCCAGAAAAAAATTGTAGATGTTTTGGCTTCATATTTTAAATCTTACAGAGTGCAGAGAAACTCTTCCCATCCTTCTTGCAAAGTCATACACTTTTTCATAGAACCTTCAATTAACACAAGTCAATCAAATATGGCTAGAAGCATTTAAAGGGTGCAATGAATTCCATTATTTGTGAGCTGTGAAGCATTTAACCCAAAATAAACAGCTCAACGAACTTCAAACCTAGACATCTTGCATCAAAGGACTTGCATCAATAGCTTGTATTCTCTAATATAACAAATATTATCAGTTTATTACTTACCTTCTTCACTGAACTGACTGCTAGTCAACAGTCGATGTCTGAACTTTTCATTTTCTTCACGCATTTTTGAAATTACTTTCCAGACTTTAAGCCAGGCTTTGGACTGAAAGGCAAAAATGAATTTTCTCAATGAAGCATATAAAAAGTTTGTGTAAAAACATCTCCTGTGCTGCAGAACCTTGAACTCTTCAGCACGACTATGAAGTCTTGCTGTTTTCTGGGTGGAGGGGGAGAAATGTGACATCAAGAGGGAAAACTGGAGGAAGGATAAATCAATGGGACATACTGGAAGAGTCATCTCAGTTTGAAAGCCAACAAACTTGGAATTACTCTGTGCTTTTCCACATGAGCTATCATGCTACTTCCTTGCTTGGCATTCCTTTTTATCCAGGACTTGCGAACTGCCCCTGTAGATAAGAGCTTATGAAAACCTACGCAGAGACATTAAAATCTCCTCAAAGTCATTCAAAATGGGAGAAAAATTAGAATAATACAGAATTGCTCATTTTTTTCTGAGAGCAAGAACTTTCCTGTCTAATTCCACACCAGCAGTGTAATTCAGATCCTGTGCTCAGATTCCAGCGTAGCAGTGACCTGGCCTATCTCATATCAAGTTGGCATTAATCTGTTTTATAGATGCTGAAGACTTTTATTTTAGAGGCATAAAAATACATCTATAGTGGGTTTATTTCAAGCACACATTAAAAATGCTAATTTGGAACTGTTGACAATGGCATTCAGACAAAGAGGCAGACTAACAAATATAAAGGGATGTTAACATGCTAACGTTATGACTTTTGCTGGACCCCATCTGTGAAACTAGTTTAAATCTGAAGGTAATTCCTCTCTCATGGACATTTATTACTAAAACATAATGCGTTTTCCTCCTTCTTTTTGAAGACTACTTAATGTACTTGAGGAGTGATATTACAGTATGCTATTAGCTGTTCCTCTGAAGTCTGTAATATTTTTCTGGTTTTAAATCAAGTATCTGCGACATTACTGTATTATAGCCTAGCTGATTACTTGTACCTAACACATTACAAAGTCTCATCATGAGTTTCTCTTTTAACAAATGTGCCTTTGTAAATTTCAAGCATTTGCTGAACTACTGAACAAGAACAGAAATACGTTTGTGAAACAGAAAGTAATTTCATATCACTGTTACGGCCATGTTAATACCTATTGTTCTTGCTTTCATTTCTTTCTCACTGGTGGAATTTCTTTGCTTAAAAAAAAAAAAAAAAGGGAAGAGGATGTGCAGAAGTTTTAACCTGCCAGGTTTCACCAAGCAAGGTGTGCAGTGCCCTGGCCACAATGCACTTTCTGTACATGCTTTAAGTCAACAGAATACTCTAAACCTTCAAGGTAAGCACACAATTAAGTGCTTTATTGAATGAGAGCCAGAATTTTAAAGCCCCCAGACAGGGAAAATAATCACATTTTTCTTGTCAGTAAGTGAGGCTTTCAGTAACAGACTACCGGTTCAATCTTCTAATCTCCCTTATGATCCCGCATAGACATATACAGAACAAGCAGGAAGCTATTATCTCAAATGCAAAGGCAGTAATTCAGCTCCAACATTTCATACCTTCTTCTTCTTCTGTTTGATTACTTTTTCAACATTTCTTGAGGGGAAGGGGAAGTCAAAGGCATCAGTCTTTTCCTCTCGAGGGTCACCTAGGAGGAGAGTTCAGAAAGCGTATCTTCAGTGTTTACAATAAATCCCTGAGGAAGCTGCACT